AATAACTTACTTAACTTTATTATACAGATAACTACTAATCCTGAGTATTATAAAGAGATATAAATCTTGCCCAAAATATTATATATAAATATCTTATATAACTGGGATGCAGGTACAGGTACAGATATAAATATATAATAATAATTAAGAAAATAATATTATATTTATTTAGACTTGTTTTATTTATAGATTTTAATTATTATTAATAATAATAACTAGTATTTTTTTAATATCCGGATTCTTCTTCTTATTAGAGAATCTGGATATATTAAAGATATTAATATAATAATTATTTTTTTTTCTTTTCTTCTATAATAATAGTATTTTTATAAGAGACTTCTAGTACAGGTAATCTTCTACTAATAATAAATATAAAAAACTGAACTTTCTATAAAATATTTTATATTAAATCTTAAATAATACGGCTATTACCAGCATCAGGTTATTTATAGTTAATATAAATACTATTAAATATATCTAATAAATAATAATATTTTAAAAAAATATTTTCTGTACCAGTATAATATCTAGAATATAAAATCAATAAATAAATTTTCTAAGATTATATTAACAGGGTATTAATATAGCTTAGTTTATATATTATAATTTAATAAATATAAATTTAGCTATATTAAAATTTAATAAATTATATTTTTAATCAGGCAAGCACTTGTAGTTTTATATTAATATATATAAATAAATATAATTAATCTAGATTTCTTATAGAAATTATAAGATTAATACTGATTAAAAATCTTTTATATAAAAAATTCTAGTATAGTTATAGATTACAGGAAGTAATAATAGGCAGACAGTAGCTAATAAGTAGATTAAAAAAAAGAAAAAAATACTAATATAATAATTATTAATATTATTATTATTGTTACTGTATAAATATATTTTTAAGTTAATTTTATCCTGTACAACACAGATAAAATAAATAGATAAGAAATTAAGCTTAATAATTTATTTTTAATCATCTAGCACAAACAATATGTTGGTAGTAGTGGTAGTTAGTAATAATTAGTAGTAGTAGTAATAGTGGTGGTAATAGTAGTAGATATATTAATAAAAAGACAGAAAAAAAAGATAGAAATCATTTAATAGATTTAAAGTAATACTGTATTTATTATTTTAATTATTTATTTTCTATTTTATATATACAGAGATCTTATTATTATAGATTTTATTCTGCTTGCCCTACCCTGCTCTATAAATTTATAATCTTATTATTTAGTGAGAAAATATATAATTAGAGATCTAATAGTTTATATTTAGTATCTGATTCTTATTATTTTTCTTATTTATATATTTTTTTTCTTATATAATAAGATAGAGAGAGAGACTAGAATAATTAATATTTTAATAAAATATTTAAAATCTTTATCTCAGTATCTAGAGTATCAAGATTATTCTAATCTTAATATATAATTAATCTCTTTTATATAATTAACTTTTTCTTTTTGTTAATTTCTTTTTTCATTTTTTTCTTAATTTTAGTCTTCTTTATCTTATCTGTAATAAAGAAAAGTACTGTATAATATTAAATAATTATATAAATTTAATATAAGTTATTAATAAGTATAAACTATTTTTTTAAAAAATCTAGGATCTTTATATTACCTCTGATTATTAGAGATAGAAAGACTAGTTATTTCTTTATAATTTCTATTAATAAATAAAAATAATCTTCTATACTGTATATATATATATATAATTAAGTATTAAAAAAAGTAATTTATCTTAGAAGGAATTATCAAGGCTATAAAATATATAATTATTAATATAAGTCTATATTTATTCTATAGAATAATAAGATTAGCATTATATAAATATTAAAAATAGAAAGTTAAATCTAGTAAATTATATATAATAATTAGAATATTATTTTCAGATTTTCTTTTCTATATATTATATAAATAAAAATAAATAATAATTTTTATACCAGCTGGTTCTTTTAAAGTTTTTTTATATAAGAAAATATTTTAGTAGATATTCTCTTCTCTAAATACTATTATATAAGAACCATTATTGAATAAAATAATTTATATATATAAATTAAATTATACAGGTTATATAAGTTATAGCTTAAGTAATATAATAAAATTAATATAAATAATCTGTCTAGATACAGGATTAACTACTTAATAAATTAGATATTATTAATAAAGAAAATAAAAATAACTAGTAATAAAATAGTAAGTAGTCCAGGAAAGAGTTATTTTATATAAGAGATATCTTATATAAGTAATACCTAGTATAAAAGATATTAATTTTTATTTTATATAAGAAAGAACAGGATTTTAAGACTTTAAATAAATAATAAAATAAAAAAAATAATAAATAAAAAATATATAATTATTATAGATAATTACTCTAATCCCTGTTATTTAATCTAATTAAAAATCTTAATTAATATCTTAGATTATATCAGGTTAGGTATTAAGCCTAATTTTATATATATTATTATTTATTTTTATAAATTAAGATAAATTATACAAAAAGAGGCTTCTATTTTATTTAAATATATTAATAATAATTTTTTAAAATTAAAGTCTAGCTTCAGTAAGATCTCCTGATATTATTTTAAAATCTTTATAAATAAATATTTAATTATATTCTAGTTTTATACAGAGTCCCTTAGCTGCTGGAAAGATTTTTTATATATAAAAAAACTATAATTAATTATATATTCTGGATAATAATAATTTATAAATAATTAATTAAAGATAATATATAATCTTTCTTATTACTTTTAGATGCTGTACTAATTCTAGATATATATATATAATAAGACCTGTATCCGAAAAATAAATATATAAATTATATATAAAATAATCTGATTTAGAATTAAATTATTAAGAAGTCTTTTACTTTAATTAAGACCTTGAAGTAATTCTATATTAATTAATATAAAAATAATCAAGAATTAATCTGTCTGTATATATATAATATTAGAAAAATAATAATTCATTCAATTATATTTATTAAATTTTAATTCTTTAATTTACAGTACTGAGTCTAAAAATATAATACTATATTATTAAAATCTCTGGCTTATATATTCCTAAAAAATAATAATAAGCTTTAATAAATAAAAATATTTTTAATTTATAATCTAAATGGATTTTATTACAGATAATCTTTTATTTATATATAATATTAAAATATTACTATGTAATACTAATTAATATATAAATATTAATACCAATATAAATCCAGATAATATAGTAAAAGAATATATTAATAATTATATAAATTTAAATACTATATAATTCTAGCTTTATATAATTATTTATATATTATATATAATCAGGACCTGGAATACTATATAAACTATAATTTTATTATATATTATTTTTCTGTTATTATATAACCTCAGGTATAATTATATAATAAATATTATATAATTATTATCTGGAGATAAAAAGATTTTAATTAATAAAATATTTATATATAACTACTCTTTATGTAGATTTTGAGATAATAAGATATTTCTTATATATATAAATAATTAAAAGTTCTTGTCTATAGCCTTTAATAATTTTTTTATTATATATTTTAAATAGATATTTTATTATTATATTCTTCTGCAGTTATTACTTATTAAAATATTTATATAAAAATTATATAATCTTTATTCTATAAAATATATAAAATCTTTATATTAAAAAGATATTACTTAAAGAACAACTCCTTGATATAACTATATAAAATAGAATTAATAATAATTATATAATCATATTTATTAATCTTCTAATTACTTAAGTAATTTTTAATTATATACTCATAGACTTGTATATAGTATTTAGCTTTAAAAATAAAAGTAATATTACTTGTAGATTAAAATGATAGAATAAATTAATAAATTCAGCTTTATATAGCTTAAGATTAATAAAAGAAGATATATTTAATAATAATTAGAAAGGATATATACAGCATCATATAGAATATTATGAGATCTTAATCAGGATATGGTACGCAGAGCGGTAAAGACACTTCAACATGTTTGCCTGATGGCCGCTATTACCCGCCGTACATTTAATAAACGTGGTATATACAGGGGTAATTGACGCAAACAGAGGTTGAAAGCGGCCCCACTTGTCAGCTGACCCTTTACTCTCTAAGCCTCCTCAGTCCCCTCTTAGCACCCATATCTAAGAGGATCCTTCGAGGCGGGAGATCAAAACCAAGGCGCGCTCGGTAGATGAAAACATCAGAACAATCTCATAAAGTAAAGCTTACCTTTGGTCCAGTGAGGAAATTGCAATGACAAAAATCAATACATAGGAATAAAGACGTATCCTATTCCTCACGAAAATCTTAGTTTTGCATAAAGGCCAGCTTATTTTGAAAGTTATCTGTCATGAAGCAACAATCGGTCTGCGCTAGTCACTTTCTACTTTTACTGCTTCTAGTTAGCGGCGTGAGATTGCTTAAGCAAGTGATTGCGTGCCCTCATGCATGATGCATGGAGATGATTTGGCCAGTAGATGTCGTCTGCGGCGCTGTAGGCCCTAAAGGTATCTTATTCGCGACAACTAACATGGAAATTGTAGGAGGCTAGACAATTCCTTATTTGCCATTTGTTTTCTCATATTAACCGCCACCTGTCATGGACAACCAGTGTAAAGTCTCGTTGAAGATTTTCATCAATCACTTCAAACGTGATCAGGAAAGCTTTTTATAGATCAGTACATGAAAACGCAAGGTGAGCCTTTCGATCTTGTACTTTTGTTACAACTATTCATATAATTACAGACTAACTTATTATTATTGAAGGGAAGCAGTAAAGCCAGTAGCGCAATAAACACGCCGGTTCCGAAGTTTGACGAGTCATGGCCTCAATTTTAATTGGAGAAATATACCTCATAACCAGAGCCTAGAACCGGATGAGCATCAGGCTGAACCAATTGTATACTTGGCCCAGAAATAGGTTCGCTCTCGCCTTACTACCTTTGGCCGGCATTCTCCGAATACCCTGACTCACTGGCGTGGAAATGGCATATCCAATATGTTTTGAACTGGACCGTACTTTGTTATTTATACGGTACTAAACACCAAATTTCTGTGGTAACCAGAATAATTCCATAGAAAGCCGTAGTTTTTCTACCGGTTTGATGGCTCTCTAGACTACTGCGAATACCTACATAGTAAAATCGGAACGGAAAATCCGGAATATGCGGGCCAGAGGTAGTAAGCCGAGGACCGCAAATTCAAGATAAATGGCGGCTTCCAACGTGTTCAAAAACTATCATCTCCCTGCAGTCTCAATTCCCCAATCCCCAGACCTTTTCATTTCATAGTCATTTCATTACCAATTTATAGGCAAGTCCGCGATCGTGCAGTTGTTTCGGTATACAAGACCCAAGGGCCCTATAGCCGTACCTACCACAACCCTAAAAAGCGTAGGCGCAGGATACTGTGGCTATTCTTATTCTGAGCCACTTCACAGTTCTGGCGAACGCATTATTGCCGCAGTAGCTGAGCCATCTGAATTCAAGAGGCGAGCATTCGGCGAAAGGTTTATCTGGGGGACAGGTAAGCCGCTTGAAGGCCAGGCTTTTTCTAGCTTGGAGGATTTCATCAGCCATGGAGTCAATCGAAGAGAGCTGGAACGCTTGACAGGGACGGTGACGGACTCAGGGATTGATGCAGTATTTGTATGCCTATTGGATGAACTTCATGCAATAGTTGTCCAGGCTGTGGCACCACTGGGTTATGCGGCATCATGGCTTTGCGCTGCCAGTTATGAATTATGCTTCGCGGCTATATATTATGTGTGAGAAGCTGCTAGCAACGCAGCTGAGTGATCTTCTTTGTATTTATGGGATATTGATGGAATCATGGGAGATGTTGCAGACTGAAGCAATCTTTGCTGTTGGCTTGGTTTTATGGTATAGCCGCCCCCAGGTTATGTTATGGAAGCTTGTTCGTGAGGATTGAGCGGTTGGTTATGTTATCAGTGTTGACTGTACTGAAGCAGTTGGCTGGAAGTCCTTTGAAAATTGTTATGCGCGGTATGTTCCGCATAAATTAGACTACAAATTATCGTGACAGTTGCTGATCATATCCAGAGGTCCTTGGCGCAGAGACTCCATTAGCGCACCTTCGCTCCTCACATAGTCGTGCCACGACATCGATTTTCTTTTCTGGCTTCTCTGTTTGCCGGCTTCTATATTCAATCCCGAACCCCCTCATCTCTCTTCAAAGGTGATTTCTTCAGGGCGCCTGCACTTCTTCAGGCAAGCTAATAAGTCCTCTGGTGCCGGTACAGCCACCAACTGCTTGAGGTGTCCTGTGGAGACAACTTGTTAGTACAGTGCTAAATCGCTCTATTTGCATCAGCGCTGAGGGCAGGCAACCGTGACCGTCCTATCGATGCAATAGTTCCTGATATTGAGGATGTGTTTTGAAATCAGGGACTCTCTTCTGCAGCGAAGTGCTTATTGGAAGTTCTTGGTGAGGACTATGATGATAAAACACCAGTATCTCAGGTGAGCCGGAAAAACTGGTATGGGTGCTGTGTCTGGGAACCTGGTAATGATGAGTGTGATGATCAAATGGTCACCATAGAGTTGGAGGGTGAACTTCTGCCGTTCGCTCAAATACAGACGAATGAGTCCAAATGATCTTCTTTGTTGTTGAAGCAGCAGTCTTACACGGGCAACCTAGGCACTGAGCCTCAGTAATGCCCTGCAAAAATTGCCCAGTTTCCATATGGTTGCTCTCACAGACGCTATCAGCAGGCGTCGTGGACGTAAATCAGGTTCCACAGGGGAGATTGTTTACGATGCAGTCACTATTCGTGTGAGCGACTTCAGCTCTGGCTTCGAAGTGGTGTATAATATGCCCTGTGCCAAAGGTGGTCACGATGGGGGCGATGACGGTCTTGCGTTGTCATTAGTAAGAGCGGTGGCCAAGGTGAAGCGCGGCAATATGGGCGTTTCGGAAGCTCAGAGGAGTTTCTTGAACTGTACCGTGCAAGAATTTTTGAGAAAAAATTATATCAAAATTAACAAATTATAACTATTTATTATAATTTAATCAAAGAATTTAAGAGCTTATTCATTTTATTATTTCTAATTTTATTTAGTAAATACACTCTATGAGAGAGCTTATAAGTATACTTAATTTATAAATATATATATATCTATATATTTTAAATTCATATTTAAATCGAATACTATGATTCCAACTTTTCTAGTAAGTTTTGTTAGAATATAGGGAGGACCTAATATATTCGATCCACCTAGATCATAACAGGATGTGTGGCTGGTTGGTTGGAGGAGGTGTTGGGTCAAAGACCGCGCAGGAAGAAGAGGAGGCAAAAGCTCAGCTGACCCTGGCTGGAGTGAGAGTGTCACAACATATTACAGGGTGAAGGAGTGGAGTCAAAGCGGCCAGGGCATTGAACCCAATGAAAAAAGCAAACAAAGGAAAAAGAAAAACGGAAAACCCGGGGGGGCACAGATATACAACAGGATGGATCTGCTCGTGGTCAGCCACTCAATCACTAAGGCACTTAGGTAATTTTCTCTCAATGGGCCATTGAGGGGCGAGGTCGAGGCTCGAGCCTCCGCGTGATTGAGGAGACCGAGAGCCTTGCCTGCAGTACGGCCAGGATGAAACCATGGAAGCTACCCAATTACAAATCGCGAGATAAAAAGCAAACATGGGGATATGCAATGATTTGAAGCGTGTCGCGAATCAGAGCACCGCTAATATACACCAAATGCCGCGTCAAGGTGCGCCTGACTTGTAAAGGGCGAACAGCACGGCGTCGCTGTTTAAATCAGTCTCTGGAGTTTGGCCCACCTCCGGATCGAATCTGCAGCCTCACTCGCAAGAGAGCAAGGTCTCCGGCTTTATTCGGATTAGCTTTGATGTTGGTGCATCAAACAAGTTTACGCCACAAATTTTGGTGCTTATGCTTTGTAATTTTTATTACTATGGTGTCAGAAAGCGCTCCCTGAACGACGGCTCTCTACTCAGCTCTGTTATCCCGTGTAGATAAAGAATGAATTAAGCAAAGTTACAGAAAAGGATGCTACGGCGTGGTTTTGGGTAGCCCAAATGACACAAGTATAAATCTACCACTCCGAGTCCAGAATCTTATCCGGCTCCATGTGAGGGCCAACGCGCTTATGTTGCGAGCCGAAATAGGAAGATTGGGAATCTTACCATGAACCCAACTTGGGGCAGCCTAAGGGTAGGAACCGGTAACCCGAGGTTAGGCTAGGCTAGAGGTCTAAACAGAGGAATGCTGAATAGAGAACCTATGGCTCAGATTTAAGTGAAGTGCATTAAGAAGGGCAAGCGACGAGTTAACCAAAATGCATTTCCCGAGGCTGTTCGCGATATCGGAGCGTGGCGGAGAAGGGGTTATATTCAAAAGAAGCAATAAACATCCTGTTCGGAATCTAGCCCATCTGAACCATGTCCACATGTATTTCAAGGTAGTCTCGCAGAGCTAACGATACTTGACTTGTGCTTTGCGCCGCGGGATTTTTGTAGTTCTATAACCTAGTTCACGGCGTCTCTCTACCCTTCCCAGGAATATAGCTTCCTCCATGACTACCCCGCTGGATGGGAAAGGTCCTAGGTCGCTCAGAAACGGTGGAATGCTGAGACGATTCATTTGAATTGCCCGTGTTTTCATATGTACGGGACTGATATCGAGGCTGATATTTGGCGCCCACTGGGACGTATCCTCCTCCGTGTCGCTTAGGCTGAGCATTCTTCATGAAGTCTTTTAGATAGGAATTGTGTGAAATTAGGCGGAAGACGGGCTTACCTGGTGTGGGGCCATTATAGTTAATCAGAAGGGTTGTTGTGGGGATCGGTGGTAAGAATCCAACAATTGAGGGAGGAGGACGTAACTGAGAGCAGGCAGAGAAAGAAAGGGAGCAGGGAGGCAAGAACTTAAGGCATCACGAGGCAGAGGACGGAGGCTGCCTTGTTGAAAGTGGCAGCCTTGGTCAGATCAGCCTCACGCTAACGCCGGGCCAGCCATTTCATGATGCAGCAATGCTAGCCTTACGTCTTTCTTCCCCTAGACAAGGGAATAGAATAAATCCAGTCAAATTCCCCGTTCTAAACTAATTCAATAGAGAACTTAAACGATTTCCTTCTCCATAAAGCTCCATAAAACAGCGTGCACTTCATCGTCACCTCAGCATTCCACACAATATGGTCGCGCGAAGCTATGAAACGCCAATCATTGTCTCTTTAGTCTTTTCTATAATAGCTGCAATTGTTTCTCTGGGGTCTGTCTTTGGTTCATGTCTAATAAGACGGCCGACGCATAATCCAAAAGCAATACCGTTTAAATCTCTCTTCATCCTCCTTCTAAGTCAAACAATGTATCGACCTACGTGGCGACTTTCGTACACGGGTGAGGAATGTCCTTGGCTGATAATCCATTTTAGACATATAGCATTTACTATTTATTCGCTATTAAATCTGGGAGACGCACCACCAGAAACCGCTGAAGCCATGAAAATCATCCCTCAGATCTGCAAATATCTGCAGAGTATACTTATTCTGAATGTATTATACCGGCTTATACATGCCTACCAGGCGCAAAATCGTAACGATATTACAAAGACGATTCTTCCGTCACAAATGCACGGCAGTACTTTGGTGAGCCTCGTTATTATATCCATCCCACATTTCATTACCTGGTTATTGTCACAACTTGGATACGACACAGACTATCAGCATTCGACTTATGGGCTCCAACTTGCGTTCGACGGTATCGTTACGATCGCTTCTCTACATATTTCGTTCAAGATATTCACAATCATCCAAAAGCTAAACAATGCCCGACGTTTTTCTATGGTACGCTGCTCCCCATGGCTTGCTAGTTGCATAGTTGAGGTGCTGACGGACAAATAGAATGGAGCTTCCTCTCTAGCTGTTGGGTGGTTCTTCTTTTTCACCCACAGTCTATCTCTTCTCATTGGTGATAGCAAGGGGCAGGGAACAGCTATGACGGACAACATGAATTATGAAGAAATAGTCCCGTTTATCTGCATAACAGGGCAATCCATAGGCATTGTCCATTGTTGCATGCAGGTGCATAAATTAGGCATCTATGGCCTATTCAGGCCATCTTCTGCGAACGATGAGCGGGCGCACATACTTACGGGCTCTAACGAGGAAATGCTCTAGGTAGAAGCTATCTAGTCGATCTGGTCTGTTTCCTTACGGTTTTCATGTAGCAGTATTCTGAAGATGTGGGAGTTGGATTTATAACATTGCAGTAATTAAAGAGAATACTATCATGGACTTGGGGTTGTGATCTAGATGTTTACTGCGTTTCTATACATTGGTAGTTCGATTAAGAGAGCCTTCAGGTCAATATGACTATTACAGACTTCACCTCCCCCTTCTCATATTAAACGCATCGTACAATCCGGGCGGCAAGCCCTTAGTGATAACACGCCATACGAGAAGAACCAGGACGGTCAGCGGGACGGACACTACCCAGAAGATCCAGAAGCTTTGGGATATACGGATCGTAACAGGGTCGAAATTGAAAAATTGATTTCCGAATATAGTCTAGAGGGTTAGCGAGAAGTTTTCATAGCCACAAATGGGATACATAAAGCTCACTGATACTGTCGACACTGGAAGAAATACGAGTGTGACGAACGCAATGGTGGCCATAGAACTGCTATCTGCCTGCATAATTCGATTGCCGTCTTGCGTGACGAGGTGGAAGGACTAAAGTACGTAGTACGTATTAGTGTATCCATGCGCCTTGCCGGTATTTATGGAAGAGGACAGAGCATACCAATGCAATGATATTGTTCATCCGTTTTTCAAGACCCTTCAAACGCAGGCTAATGGACTGGAACTGAGTCTCCACGTGCATCAGCATTCCCTGTGCCATTTCAGTGGCATGGCGGTCCCCGTCAGGGATGTTTTCTAGCATTTGTTGATGGTGCCAGGATAACCTTTTCAGAGTGAGCATTGTAGCTTCGGCGCTCTCTTGGAGAAACAGGATATGCTTTGAAACATTATGTAGCCCAGTGAAAGACTCCCTATCCTTCATCGCGGTCAAGGTGTTCTATGAAGGTCAGCAACTACCCAGCTACACTTGGCTAGAGGCACGATATACCAGTTCGATCTGGCGAAACACATCCATCACATCCCAAACCGTATTGTCCATTTGCAAAGACAGCTCCTCGAAGATGATAGCAAAGAGGCTGTACGGGTCACGGACGACGTTGGTTGGTATTGATGATGGTGAAATATGTTTGAGACGTTCTTTGAGAGATTTCGACGCTTCGAAACAGAGAAGCGTCACTTCTGGACCACAACTCGGACCCACTGCCCATCGCAGAAAATACCCTGACCGTATCCACGTCGAGTCGCCGTGCTGCATCTGTGGTGCTCCCGGCCTGGGATCGGATATCCGCGCGGTGCCATGAGCATCATGAATCACCGTGATGTTCTTGCACAAATAGTGGAACCAGGAGCCTTAATATGATGTGCAAGTTATTGATCGGAATAAATATCGAAAATGGTACTTTACATACAATTATAGCCATTTATGGAGTTCAAAGCCCCAAATGAGTGTGTTACCGACCGCAACCTGCCCGCAAGGAATGCAGACGGCGCAGCATAGTGATCAAAGAGCCAGAGAAGTCCTTGAGCAGTGGCGCTACTTGGCTGATCCAGGGGCGAGAAACTTTATAGTGTATTAGTCGCAAGCGATCCCACTTAGTGGATGTACCAACATGATTCGGAGTACAGGTACAGGCAATTTCCCTAGTTCAGGCATAGTGACCTTTCGCGGAATTAATTGGTAACGACCTGAGCGTCGTGTTAGCTACAATATGCTGATTGCAAATCTGGGACGATCCCTGTTACCATCAGGCGCCTGGACCGAATCTAGTACGTCCACAGTGAACGTGTGGGGGATCAAAGGCGTGGGTTTGCCGGGAGCTTCGCGCTTAAAAGGATCCAAAAGCGACTGATCTTGAAAAATAGACAACATATCAACTGCTTGATGTTGAGTCCTGTCCGCGGTCAAGAGACAGTAACGAGGGGGCACCCACGCGCGGCGGGGTCAGGAAGTAGTAGAACGGGGCTGAGAAAAAAAAGGAAAGATAGTTTAGTCAGAGTCAGAGCAATCAGGCTGGCACTGTAGAATCTTACAATACACATGATTGGTTACTCTCTCTGGTACTAGTACTGAATCCGCCCTGCATGTGATGTGAAGCCCTCTGTTTACCAATATAAATATATATATGAAATTCCCTAAAAAGTACTTATATTAACTAGCTCTGTTTTAGAAATGACACCCAGGATTGGGCCTAAGTAGTCTGACACTAAGTATTATTAGTCATGATTAAGATCATTCAGTGTGAGCCTGATTCCTTGATCCCATTGAACGCACTAATTTCTGACCACCTCCCAAATGAGAACCCGTCACGAGGTGAATCTCAGCCTTGCGTCCTAGCTGACTAAGCCGCCTCCATGGTCCAGCTGAACCGCGGGCGTACGGCTTTTGCTCATAACACTCTCCCTGTCTAAAGCTTTTACACGACTTTTTGAAGGGCTCCTATCCCATGTCCTCTCATAGTGATTAAACAAGACCTTCTAGAGAAATGCAGTCTGATTTTGAACTTGGGCATATCCATGACCACGGCCCAGGTAGAGGAAGCACAGTCTCCTTGGTAGTAAGGTTCACTTCGGGCATTCTGATGAATATATAAAGGGGACTAATGATCCAACACGTAGAGCGGAAGCATGGCTACCAATTTCGAAAGGCCGGACTGGCTCGCAAAGGTCGGTTTAATCGCTGCCCATTGCGGGCATTATACTGATCTTGATACAAAAGAGTCCTAGGTATTATGAGATATACCTGAACCCCAGAACCTATTCGGAGACACACCATGCGACCTATCGGCCAGGAAGAGAATACAGATCCGTTGAGGAGTACCGTCACAAAGACAGCTTGGGGCGCGTGTGGGTAGGCCGTGAAAATGACCGTTACTTGAGTGCTACGGATGGGCGACTAGTAGAACTGGTAGTTCAAGCGTCCGAGGATATATGCCATGGCCCCGCCAACTCGACCTGGGCTCGGAAGAGGATTAAGGAGTCTACCCCGACGATACTTCGAGTTGTGTACTCGCTTTTGGGACGACACCTTCAGAATAACCAGGACGCATGGTCAAGGGTTAGCATGTGCTTGGAGTGGCTTCCGTCCTGTGTTACTATCGCTGGTCTGGTAAGACAGCTTTTAGCTCCATGTGCGTAAGCATGGCTGAAATCATGTAGTTATTTCTTCCAACAGATCTTGGCGGAGAGTTGAGAAACAATGGCCATTACGAACAGTTCAAGTATCACTACTGGGGCTATTCAACGGCTTCAACCAATCTTCACGAGGTCGAACCATCGAGCACTAACAATCTGCCGGGCCCTCGTCAATTTGCAAACGGGATATCAAAGCGGCCTCTACGTCCGAGACTGCTGTGCTTGCTTCAAGACGTCGGGGGTATTGTCATCGTTAACGTCGAAGAATGGGAGGCAGTGCATGGCAGCCTCGAGTATCTGTTCATATGCTATACCACTGAGCAGTACAGTCATGAGTCGAATGAAGACATGGATGAACTTCATCGCATTGCTAAAGCTGCTACCCGGACGGCAGGGGTTGCGGCTTACTGGATCGCGTGCAGTTGCATGCCTGATGATGACGACCAATTCGAAGACATATACCGGATCAGCGATGTCGTGCGGGGTGCCCAAGCCTTGGTGGTGATTATTGGCCCCTCTCCGGGTCTCAGGCCAGAGGAAGGTGAAATGCTTCGCCATTTGGGAAGTCGACTGTGGACCTTTCCTGAGGTCCTCCTAAGCCCATCGGGCCAACCAATCTCCATATACAAGCGTGATTGTCCCCCAGATTCCTTCCGGGTTCTGTCGAAGCGGAACTTCGCAATTGAAGCCTGGGGAGACACCACTGTCTCAAGAGAGCTTATTGATCATTATGAAGGTTCAATTATACTAAGCCCTCTCGAGCTGGTCTCCATCGCCTTACAATGCTTTCCAAACCGTGAAACCACGAGGTACTATAACGGAGACCTTTCGTACGCTCTGATGGGCTTGTTACGACGTCGTCCAAGTGTTAACCCGAATGACTCGGCCTTTGAAGCCTTTTGTCGGTTGTCTTGGGCCAACGACAGCGATCGGGTGCTCGAGAGGCTGGTATGCATGCTACCCCAAAACATCGACCAGCCTTGGTATGAGATCAACGACTTCTGGGGCAGTCATCTTTGGGAAATTGAACCTCTTTGCCAAGTTGTCGGCTTCGGTGGCAAAGACACTGTGATTATGAGTGGTGCTTTTGGTGCTCCGATTCGTTGGACATCCTTGGAGCCGGTCAACATGTTGATGCGTAAGACGGCAAAACGTTCAGTAGCCAGATTTGCTCTTCGCAGCACTCCTGGTTGGATTGTTATAGGCGTGATGTCGCTAGCAATTACCCGGTCCAGAACAGGAACAGACGCCTACCTTGCATTCACTGTGATCGGGTGGATATTCACAGGCCTGTATATTTTGGTCATGTTGGCGTCTCCGTACCTAATATCCATTCTTTATGTTGGGAAGACATGGGCGTCACAGCCATGGCTGTTCGGATTTGAGGGCTACATGGAGATTGGTGAGATCGAGCAGATGGTCTTCGGTATTAACCTCAGCCGTTTGAAGTGGAGTCCCTATTCCAGCGATCTCTCGCTGCATGTATCCCAGAACGGTGAGTGCGTGGGGAAAGATCCCACTTGCAGAGAATCCACCGCCCAGTTTGTGTCCGCTGCCCGAAACTCGCGGTATGGAGAGCTCAAGCTCTTCACCTTGGTTGATACGAATACCTTGACCGTCACTTTATTCCGAGCTCGCCGCCCGCCGGTGGCAATGCTTCTTTGCGGCAGCGAGGGTGGTATGCAGCGAGCGCTGCTTTGTTCTTATGATTGGAAATCCCAAACCCTCTATCGCGAGAATGTCCTGCGGGTGGACACGCTCGTCTTGGACAAGATGTCACGGGTGGATAGATTCCGGCTTGGTCTGAATAGGCCTATGGCGGAGACGGTAAAGGTATGTAGTAGGGAAATCTTTACCACACGACAACAGTCAAATAATGTCTGACAAATTTATAAATAATATCAGTTAATAGTACTTTATACCAGGAATATAATAATATAATCTTTATTTTCTCCATTTATTATTCTGTGAAGTTATAAATATTCGAAAATAATAATATTTATCTTCAAATTTATTCAAATTTAGTTAATACATGTATTGGAAATTTGATTAGATTAATATATATAATAGTAATTTAACTTTTGAAAACTTAAGGAGATAGGACAGATATGGTTCGATGGGTCACTTAATCATACCCCTCATTTTAGAGCTGGGTCTGAGAAAGTGGTACAGCCTGGAGGTGCATTCACATCAGCACAGAAAGTAGAGGGATGGGAGGCGGGTGGAGTTGGAGTGATGGAGTGATGGAGTGATGGAGTGATGGAGTGATGGAGTGATGGAGTGATGGAGTGATGGAGTGATGGAGTGATGGAGTGATGGAGTGAGGTGGAGTGAGTAGTGCATTAGTGGAGTGGTGGAGGGACTAGCCTGAATCGGTTTTTCACCTCCGAGGTTGTCTGGGAGTCTTGGAACGATCTGTAGGGATGCAAAAATCAATATGAACGCCATTCTTGAGCCAGAAGTTTCAAAGAATTGCCAATATCTTGCTACTCGCAGCATTTCGGCAATACTCCTCGAACTCGAGTCATTTCTAGTGGTTCCCATTACGCTGAACCACCTCCATGACTAAGGCAGATGTCAACGGCAAACCCAAGGTCGCGTTTATCGGTCTCGGTGCGATGGGTAGAGGAATGGCTATACAACTGCTCAGCGAAGGGTTTCCTGTCAGTGGATTCGACTTAAACCCAATGTCACTCGAGACATTACTGGCCATGGGCGGCACTGTCGCCCCAAGTCCACGGGAATGTGTTCATGATGCCTCATTCTTTATCTGCATGGTAGCGAATGCCCCGCAGATAGAGCATGTATTATTCACCAAATCAGTGGGTGCTGTGTTTGGCTTGGTGAAGGACGCCACTATTATATTATGCTCCACCGTTGCCCCAGGCTTCCCGCAGAAGATCTTGGACCAGATCCATCATCGATTCTGCAGGCCAGATATCAATCTTGTCGATTGCCCTGTATCTGGTGGAGCGCTTCGTGCAGCTCAAGGTACGCTGACGATCATGTCGTCTGGGGCACAAAATGCTCTTAGACTTGCCCATCCAGTTTTACAATCGTTCAGCCAAACGCTATACACTATCGACGGAGGACTGGGGTGTGCCAGTAAAGTCCAACTTATCAATCAGCACCTTGCAGGAGTCCATATTGCTATTGCAGCAGAGGCAATGGGACTAGCTGCGACTATGGGGATAAATACAAAGCAATTCTATGACATAGTGCTGAAAAGTCCTGCGCATAGTTGGATGTTTGAGAACCGAGTGCCACACATGCTTCGCAATGACTGGTCGCCGCACTCCGCTCTCAGCATCTTTGCCAAAGATTTGGTACGTCAGCTCATCTGGGCAACCAACAAGGAATTTTCGAATCTGCTAACACTGGCCTTCAGCGCATTGTCACTTCGGAGGGTCTGAAGGAGGACTTCCCTTTGTACATCGTATCTGCTGCAGAGCGTCTCTATCAATTTGCTGCACGAGCTGGCTATGAAAAGGAAGATGACTCTGGCTTAGTGCGGATTTTCATTCCCCAGAACTTGTCCTTGATTTCCGAGGCGACGCATCGAGAAAGCCACGCAGCTGACCATGGGCGAACGTCAAGAATGATCTGCCTTATGCTGAGTATTGTTCACGAGGTAGCAGCAGTTGAAGCTCTTTCCTTCGGTATAAAACTTGGTCTATCTATTAAGGCTTTGAACTCGATAATCTCAAATACAGCGGGTGCAAGCAGAAGTTTTGCAGCTGTCGCAACAGCGATGATGGGACAACAAATCGCTCCCATACGTACTCTAACTCAGTGCAGAGACATTCTGGTCAGTCTTTTCGCTATCGCCTCTGTGTGACGTTTATTAATTTGCAATATAGAAGCAAGCGACGATTATTGCCCAGACCTATGATTACCCTCTCCAGATTACCACCACTACACTGCAGCTATTGCAGCAGGCTGTGGCTCGTGGCCTGGGAGACCAGGATCAAGCAGCGCTTCACGTTTTATGGAATCCTTTAGCCTTATGATCATGGGGGTACACGTTATCATGTTGGTAGCCTCTAACTTCTATGACAGTAGGTTTGATCATCGGAAACTATACATTTCTAATTTGAGCTTTGCGAAACCATGTCCCGAAGAGATCTGTCTTCTCAATTAAACCCTAATAAGACACATCTCTTCGGGACATGGTTTTTAGTGCCTTGTTTCGGACGCAAGCTCGTTACGGTATTAATGATGCGTATTGTTTGAGATATAGTTGATATATCAATAGTAATAGGGACTTCGTCGGCCGAGGACAAGAAATTGATATACTAATAGAGATGTCTTAAGGCCTGGTCCTCGGGAGCAAAACTGTGGTTCCTGCGACACTCCATCCATAAGCTCCAAGAGGCTCGGGGTCGGTGCCTTTCCATAAGAAAAGTCAAGCTCTCAGTCATGTCGCAGAGTGCGTGTAGTGAATCTGACTATAATTGAAAACATTGGATGTATCTCAGTTTCGACCAGTTTATCCTGCTCATTTGCGGCTCTCCTTAGATTGATGACTCGGAAGTATTGCAAATGTCTAGGAAGAATATCCATCGTCCCCAACATCACCTTCAACTTATTTGACCATGAAATCTTCAAAATCCTCATCGGGGAGATATGCCTGTTCATTACCTTCCAAAGCACCAAGGTACCAAGACATATCGCTTCCATCAAACTCGCGGGCGGCAAACCCGTTTCCAAGGTATCCAAATCGGTTTGTTGTGGTGTATCGTAGATGATAGTCTTCCCATCGGGGCTGTTTCATGGTTTCAAAGAAGTGAATTCTGGAGCCAGGCCACATCATCACCTCACCATCGACAGTGCCCTGTTTGAACCAAGAACGACATGGAGATGTCCATGCAGTACGTGGCATGAACTTTCTATGATGCTCGAAGAAATCCGCGACTGCTTCCTCTTTGGGCTCAAAGGAAGTGACACCCTCCGATGACATTTTCTCCAGAATTTGGAGGAAATGGCGGGACAAGGTTTCTGTGATAGGGAGGAAGCTCCCGTGACCATATGGGCCGAAGGGACCGTTAAAGACTATTCAGATCTAATTAGTATACCGTATCTTCAGGAGATAATTCATTTGCGATGGAGCCTTACTGAGGTAGTTAGGGAAGTTCGGAACAGTAATGGAAAGGTAGGTCCTCGGAATGTCTTTCCACTGTTCACTCAGACTGCGGGCTTCCCTACCGATGGTCGGATATGATGGCCGCCAACTAACATCAAATCCAGTGGCACACACGATCACATCAACTTCATGCTCAACACCGTCTGCTGTCCGAATACCCTTGGGGGTAATTTCTGAAATCGACTCTGAAACCACTTCAGTGTTCTGACTGCAGAGTGCCTCAAGGTATCCGTTTCCAGGTGTAGGTCTACGGCAACCCACTGCAAAATCTTTTGGCACTATATGGTCAGCAATCTCAGGGCGACGGGCGAGCTTGGATCGCATGTCTCTCTCCGCATACTAATCAACTAATCAGTCTCGGGGCTATCCTCAGCGAGTAACGGTGCGGTGCCGGTTAATATGGAAACTTACCGCTCTTGCGTTTGCCTGCTCTTCCGAGCCGTTAAGGATGAATCGGAAACGAGAGTTGAGCTCGGATTCAATCTTCTTACGATAAGCTAGATATTTCTGAGGGTTGTGCCGAAATATAGCCTTCTGGTTCGCAGTATCTGAAAGCTGTTAGCTCGCACTGCCTTGCTTAATAAGGCGCAAAAGGAGTCCGACATTTGAAGTTCGTCCCTCCCTTTCCCGCGAAGCGCTGACCAAATCCTGCAGTCACCCAAGAGGCGCTACGGATAAAGCATTTCAGGGAAGACACCGCTATTGACTGTGAGAAAGAAGACCTTAGGTCAATTGTTCAAAAACTCACTTGGTTGAATAGTCGGAACGATTTGTACCGCTGAGGACCCTGAACCAATCACAGCCACGCGTTTCCCTTTCAATTCCACTTGATCATCCCAATGCGCACTATGAAGCATGGGCCCTTGAAAGGTTTCTCGGCCTTGAATAGCAGGCCATTTCCACTTGCTACTCAGAAGGTTAGTGCTTGCTTAGTCATTACATCAATTTTTTAGCTGTTTAACCCACTTCAAGACCCCGGATGCGTTGACTAGGATGTGGCATCGATCTTCAAACACATTCGCTGGATTATCTCCCCTTTGAATCTTCACCTGCCACTGTTCGCTATCTTCGTCCCACGATGCGCCCACGACTCTGTGGTCGAGGCGAATATATTTGCGTAGCCCATAGTTGTCCGCGATGCCTTTGAAATACTCCAATATCTCAGGCGCGCTTGAGTAACTGCACCGGCTCATATCAGCTCGATGAAGATGAAGATTCGGGACCGAGTCTATACGTACAATGAGGTCCAGTCGGGAGAAGGCGCCCATGAGAATTGATAATTGACAGAGGGAATGTCACATCCACATCCGGGGTAACGATTCTCAAACCAAGTACCACCAACCTCGGGGTTCTTCTCATAGAGCACTAACTCGATGTCCAACGTACTCTGGTCAATATCGTGCGCGAAATTTAACGCACTTGCGCCTGCTCCGATCACAATAATTCGGATCTTGCGTCGAGAGCGGCTTGGCTCATCGATGATCTCGTAAGGAACATGCCGTCCCATACTAGCTGCTTTTCGAGCCTTTGGCTCATAGTGATCACCGATAGAGCCCATGGCGAGAAAGGAAAGTCAAGATTGGATCTGCCGTTTGAATTTCAACGCTTCGGCTCAGCCAAAAATCTCGAGTAGCAATCGGGCTACATGACCTTTTTATGGCTCCAGAATATCTCCAAGTTAGTTCCCAGGAATGCATTATCGAGCCGTTGATTGTCTGGCCCGTCTTGTGAATTATCTGGTGAAATAATCACGTTGGCCGGTCGGTGGAGCTCCACCAGCCCACCCCGCTCGCTCCACCTCCACCTCCACCGCGGAGCGTTCTCCGAACTTCAAATTCACTTCCAACGACACCTCAATATCCCTTTTCAGATACCGCGGACCATGAACGCCTCTCCTGTGCTTCATGAAAATGGTATATATATTTGGCTTCAGCGGAGGACAAGTAAACAAAGCAGTTGTTGCGGTTGGAAGACATCAATCTTACCGAAAACTTCTAATATATATTTGTCATTCAAGCCCGAAACATACGCAGCTTGAGCACAAAACTTACATGCCACAGCTCGGATCAAAATGCCCAAGATTACAACCACGAAGCCATTACGCATATCAATTGGTTAGTAGAGAGCTCATACTCTAGGTCAAGACTATTTGATGACACCCAGTTCTAAATATGATGAGTAGACCGAGGCGGGACCTTTACGGATTGCATTTGCCAAGTCGTCGATGGGCCTGATATTGTAGCAAAGATCTTATCCGTGGACCCGAAGAACTATGCGGATGCGCCGACTGAGGCAATCCGTCGCGTCCTAGAGCAATACTATGGTTCTCCTATCCCGCGTGGAACAGAGCTCGACCTGAGAGACGTCGGTACGATTTTGGGATCACCCAACTGCTTGAGACTTCTATCAGCACTAACTCCCTCCTTCGCTAACAGAATGGATCCGTATGGGTACAACAGTTGCAACAAATGCATTACTCGAGAGAAAAGGAGAGAAGACAGCCTTACTGATTACCGAAGGCTTCAAGGATGTTCTTCAAATCGGAACTCAGAGCCGGCCCCATATGTTTGACTTGACAATCCGGCGGCCGATACCCTTGTATTCAAAAACCTTTGAGATACGAGAGCGAGTAACTGTGCAAAATTGCAGCGACTCAGATCTCCGCAATATTCATTTGTCCTCTCCAGAGCCTGTGGATTCCGTCATTGCAGCATCAGGAGAGATAATTCAAGTACTCCAGCCCCTGGATACGGCCAGCACAAAAGTTCAACTCCAAAGTATTTACAAAGAAGGGTTTCGCTCCCTGGCAGTGTGCCTGATGCACTCGTACAGCTCCCCAAAGCACGAACTAGAAATCAGAGATATGGCACTCGAAATTGGGTTTGAGAATGTATCACTCTCACATGAGATATCTTCAAGACCAAAGCTCGTCCCCCGTGGTAACTCCACGGTAATTGACGCATATTTGACACCGAGTATCAAACAATATCTTGAAAGGTTCTCCAGAAGCTTCCCCAATATAGGTAATTCTCGGACGCGACTAGAATTCATGCAATCAGACGGAGGCCTGGTGCCCTCGTCTAGTCTTTCAGGGCTTCGCTCTATACTCTCAGGGCCAGCTGGAGGCGTTATTGGCTTTTCTCGAACGTGCTTCGATACTGAAACTCGAGCTCCGGTGATTGGTTTTGATATGGGAGGAACCAGCACTGATGTTAGTCGATATGACGGTGAACTGGATCATATCTTTGAGACAATAACTGCCGGGATCACTATCCACGCTCCACAGCTGAATGTCAATACAATTGCCGCTGGGGGCGGTAGTATCTTGACCTGGAGGAATGGGCTCATGTCGGTCGGACCCGAGAGCGCCTCTTCTAATCCTGGTCCTGCTTGTTACCGGAAAGGAGGTCCACTGACCGTTACAGATGCAAATCTCGCGCTCGGCCGTTTGATCCCTGAAGAATTTCCATCTGTCTTTGGTGTTAATGAAGATGAGCCATTAGACAGAGACATCGTTCTCACTAAATTCCAGGAGCTGACCCAGGTTATAAACAAGGAGACTGGCATGTCACTTACATGGGCAGAGGTTGCAGATGGGTAAGTGATGCCCACAATCATATCTCATTGTTTCATTCGCTAATAAGTATTATTTAAACAGCTTCCTACAGGTCGCAAATTCTGCAATGTGTGGACCCATCCGGAGTTTGACTCTGGAGAAGGGCCATGATGTTGCAAAACATCATCTTGCCTCATTTGGAGGCGCGGGTGGCCAGCATGCTTGTGCTATTGCCAGCGACCTTGGTATCAAACGCGTGCTCATTCACAAGTATTCCTCTATCTTGTCTGCCTACGGGATTGGACTAGCAGAAGTTGTACATGAAGAGGAACGAGTCTGCGCGAAAGCCTTTGAAGGGTCTGCCATTGATGTTATCAATGATTCCCTGGACAGCCTCGTCGACTATGCCCGATGCAGTAAGACTATGGAATCATTCAGCAACATCCGGGCTTATCGGTTCCTGAACATGAGATATAATGGCAGCGAAACCTCCATCATGATACCCTGGGAGAGTCCTGATAGTGACGCGAAACAAGCATTCGTCAAAGCGCATCATCAGCAATTCGGATTCACTCCTGTGAACCGTGTCGTGTATGTGGACACCATTCGTGTCCGAGTAATTGGATGCAGTGTTTCCCCGGAAGACTCTTCATATCTCCAGGTCAAGTCTCCCTCAATTTCCACGTCTGCTACCGCTGGAGCCACGCCCAGCTCCAGGGTTTCCACACGTTTCAGTTCGATAGGTTGGGTCAACACGCCTGTCTATCACCTTAATACTCTTTCTGAGGGAACTGAGATCCAAGGGCCCGCTATGATTATTGACAAAACGCAGACGGTCGTCGTGAGTCCAGATTCAAAAGCAACCATCACTCGAGATCTTTTGATCCTTGACATAGATCAGCCAGCCCCCAAGTCGACTAGCTCAGAAACAATTGACCCCATCCAGCTTTCCATTTTCCGACATCGGTTCATGGGAGTAGCGGAGCAAATGGGCCGCGTTTTGCAGAATGTCAGTACCAGCGCGAACATCAAGGAGCGACTGGATTTTACTTGTGCAATCTTCACGCCAGAAGGGGAATTAGTTGCCAACGCCCCTCATGTACCAGCCATGATTGGGAGTATGGCCTTTGCAGTAAAATCCCAGATTACTGAGTGGCGTGGAAAGCTGCAAGATGGGGATGTGTTACTTTCAAATACTCCAGGTACGTGCTCCAGCTTTTCTTGGTCACAAGCCGACGTCAAAATCTCTCTAACTTTCAGTAAGCCTATGGGGGTGTTCATCTCCCCGACTTAACGGTTATTACTCCGGTCTTCGACGCTGCCGGGAGGAATATCATATTCTGGGCTGCTTCGCGCGGCCATCATGCTGATGTGAGTGACTTTCAATCATGAATTTTGGTAACTCCCCCACTCATTGTTTCCGGTAGGTAGGTGGGATACTCCCCGGCTCGATGCCGCCAACGTCAAAGCTCCTCTCAGAAGAAGGTGCTATCTTCAACTCTCATCTGCTGGTTCGTGCTGGTCACTTCGATGAGGATGAGCTTCATCGCGTTCTATGTGTGGAGCCAGCACGTTTCCCAGGCAGCAGCGGGTCCCGACGATACCAAGACAATGTCACTGACCTCAAGGCCCAAGTGGCCGCAAATCACTGTGGTACTCGTCTCATGCAACGTCTCATCGAAGAGTATTCTCTTCCCACTGTTCAGGTATTTATCAAGCACATTGCATGATGGAAGATGTGTAGCTAATTAGGAATAGGTTTACATGCGTGCAATCCAGGAGGCGGCTGAGCTGGCCGTGCGCACTCTTTTGAAGCGTCTCGCACATGAGCGCAGAGGAGAAGACATATCTGCTGTGGACTATATGGATGACGGCACCCCGATAAAACTGAAAGTGACGATCAATCCTACCGATGGGTCCGCCATTTTCGACTTCACGGGCACCGGCACAGAGGTATACGGTAATTGTGCTCTATAACTGTCAGCTTAATTTGAAACTAATCCAAGTTGATAACAGGGAACTGGAATGCTCCGATTGCAATCTGCAATTCAGCAGTCATTTTCGCACTGCGCTGCATGGTCAATTCTGATATTCCGCTCAACCATGGGTGTATCAAGCCGGTCCAAATCATTGTTCCCAACGGATCACTCCTGTGTCCAGATTCTGAAGCCGCTGTCTGCGCCGGCAATGTGTTGACGTCGCAACGCATCGTAGATGTCATTTTCAAGAGCTTTAGAGTATGCGCCGCAAGCCAAGGATGCATGAATAACCTAACCTTCGGCAACGATGGCGAAAATGGATTTGGATATTATGAGACTATAGCCGGTGGGAGCGGCGGAGGCCCTAGTTGGGCTGGAACAGATGGTGTGCACACCAACATGACTAACACGCGGATAACTGACCCTGAATCTCTTGAACGAAGATACCCTGTTATCCTGCGTCGTTTCAGCTTCCGTAGCGGAAGTGGTGGTGCGGGTATATACCCGGGTGGCGATGGAGTTATCAGGGATATAGAGCTGAGACTTTCCATGTCTGTGTCGATTCTTTCGGAACGACGGAGCTTTGCACCTTATGGAATGGCAGGTGGAGAAGACGGTCAGCGCGGGAAGAATACATGGATCACCAAGGCTGGTCGCTGTATCAACGTCGGCGGTAAGAATTCGATCCGAGTTCAACGTGGCGATCGGTTCGTGATCGAGACACCCGGTGGAGGTGGCTATGGAGCCCTTGAAGATGGGGTGAGCAGAAAAAGGGACGAGTCGGTCGTCATGCCCGCATTCATACCAGTTGCTAATGGCAGCGTGGCTGCGAATCGGACTCTGGCGGAGCAAGTTTAAGACTGTGAATACATGTACTAGTGTCAGGGCTCAATCAAGGCTTCTCGGATTCGTCCAGAATGAAACTGGAGTTCGGAATGATTGACGTCAACGCTAAACTTCTAAGCTAGGTTAACGACATACAAGCTACTAAATTTACGAAGAAGGAAATGCTAGTTTCTAAGGCTTTGTATGTGGACATTAATATATGAGATGCCAAGCAGGAGGTAGTGTATTTCGTTATTAACCAAAGCCAATTGCAAGCTGATCGACTAGATTAGCTCCAAACTCAAGAAAGCTCCAAGGGCTACTTCTGAAAATTGCCCTCAATTTACCCAAGTCGGATATACACCTCATTAGTTCAGGCCGTGTGCCCCATTAAGCTGTTGGGGCACTGCTAGTCAAAGAAAATTCATGAACAATATAATTTTGCAAAGATGGCCAGTGCTATTTCATCACAATGGATATAGGTTTGCTAAGCCTTTTAGGGTTTTATTAT